GACAGCTCCTGGACCTTTAAGCACTAATGCCTAAGCAATGGTTTATCTCAAATAGGACTCAGCACAACAGTCCACCAGTAGAGAACGCTGTATATTCCAGCTTCAGCAGGGTGGAAATATATATGCTGAAGTCAGAGCAGTAAACGTAAAACGCATGTATGTTCTTCCAATTTGATATATGTTTGTGAATTTGTAGAAATCACTTCATGGTTCGCGTTACTAGTCTCGTCACTTTAGGCAAGCTGTGAACCAGCAGTTGAATCTTAATTATGGTTTTAATTGAACAATCTATGTCTACATTGCTAATGATGTAAAGGAGCAGCTTACAAAAAGACTCATTCAATTGCCAGATTGGCAGAAGAAAATTGCTTGTTCAGAACAAATAAGCAACGAACCATTAGACGGTTTCGTTTACATTAGATTCCTCAGTCTCAATGAAAAACATTATTTATTTGGCCATAGCAGAAGTTCTCTTTATGTCAGCACTAAACCGTCTTTTATTAGCTGAATTAGGGTAAGTACAGTTACGAAATTCTTGTTGTTCTTCCACAAGTATCAACTCTGCGCCTCTGCTCTTTATAGTTGACATAACTGTATTTTGGTACTATTTCTTCTGCAATAAGTTTTCTCTATTTTGTATAAACTTCAATCAATTCTAATTGATTATTTTCCATCCTGATCACCCTTAATCTGACATTCATTACCTTTGCATAACTGATATACAAGTTCCAACGTAAGCATTAGTATCTTCATCAGTTACACTTCGCTTTATTTCGAATAAGTAGCTGCTTCGCCTATTACGTAGCGTCCCATTCGTGTCTCGAATGCTCTGTGCTCATAACACAGCACCGCTTAGAATTCCGTTCTTTTGTCCTCTGGATAGCCCCTCGTTAGTATTGTATCATGTTGTGTACTCTTTATTCTATCAAAGGTAACATTTAATGCTAGGTTATGCTTTTCTATCATTTTCCTTTTAGCCATTGTACATATAAATGTGCGTGGTAAGAAATTCAAAGAGTTAAGAAACGTAAGACTAAGCAGATGAAATGAAGCTAACTGAATAGCCCAAAAGGCTTGCGAAAGATCTTGTGGCAAAACCTATCACTGCATAAGATGTAAGGCAAATTTAGGACAAGCAGTGCTTGCAAAAAATTGTGGAATATTCTAATAGAGCTCTTGAAGAGGCGTCGTTCGTTTCTACGTTGGCCGTTTTGATGAAAGTTTAGTCTTGGAATGTTTACAAGATGGGTGCGGAAAGGAAAGCCTGGTCCCTCGCAGAAATCGTTATTCTTTAAAGTTCCATTCTTCGGAGCATTTCACCTTTACACCTTCAGTTCAAACATTGACCCCTCTACAGGTGAAGTACGGGAGACATCCAGCCCCTTCCATCTCACAAGATGATTGTCAAAAACATAATTAGGAGCCGAACTAGCTGACAAAAAGTAACAGAGAAGAAACTGGCAGTAGATGAAAATGGGCAAGTAAGAAAGGTGGCATTTGAGGGGAGACATTTGCACACGCAAAATATTGTAGTGTCCGAACATAACACGTAATTCATGGAATTTGATGTCAACCAAATCTTTTTCTTTAGGCAACAATGCAACATCTCCACTCCATTTCTTCTCTTAGACCTTTTCCATTTCGATAGAGTTGGTGGATCTTGCTACCACATTATTATTGGACTGTCTATGCCGGCTTGGCACTGTCCAGGTTTGCCTGCATATCCATTGTCGGGCGTCCTTGTTTTGCCAAAGCACAGTTACTGGAGTCAAAATACGGTTTAGGAATAGAAACATCAGTGTGCTTCGTAACAAAGGCAATACAACATCTTTCCCGTTGTTGATCTCAAAGAATATGTAAATGGAAATAGTAATATTTCCAACTAAAAAAGGAATAAATGATACGATTATGACGATAAGGAGAACAAAGACGGTCCTATAGAGACGGCAGAGATAACGTGGCCTGGTAACAGTGCCGTCTTCAGCTTGGTAGACTGGGCTATTTGCAACAAACTTGTGTATTCGGTAGTATCCTCGTATGTACAGAAACGAGACAACAGTGACCGTCACAGAGGCAAAAACAGCCATACCCAGCGTATATATTCCATGCATAACAGAGCTGTTGCTGACCAGTAGATTAGCTGCTGGATTAATGAGAGAAAAAATCCAAGTGAGAGTAATGACCACGCTTATATACGGCTGTTTGAAAAGCTTCTTGAATCGCGATGGTTGCTCTTGATTTGGGTTCATGTGGGTATAACGGTCCATGGCTAAAATCATTGTAAGTGACGCTGAGACTGTCCCTAGACCTGCGCTGAAAACAAAACCTATGGCTTGAGGTAGGCAGCCCTTTGTACTCTCATTTATCGTTGCATAAGATGCCAAGGGCAAAGCGAATGTTCCGCTTAGCAAATCAGATATCAAAATGCAGGTTATTATCAGATTTGCAGTGGTCGCATTAGTCTGTTTGGTCTTTAAAAACGCAACCAAAAGTATTAAATTTAGAAAGGTCATTGTAACGGCTACAACTGCCAAAAATGTTCCTTGCAATAATCTTTCCCAGTCCTCGTTAAGTAAAAAATAAAATTTCATCTTCCAGCATACCGACATCTTTCCGATCGCGGTTTGGTAATTACTGAAATTTGACGTTTCTTTGGAGGTTATTCAGTATCTGCAAATAAGAGCTATTTCATCGTTCAGGTTCAGATAAAAAACAAACTCCATCGAAACAACACTTTATAATATTCTATAATCGTTGCCATAACAATGCTAAGTAAACAATGGACTTTCTACAGTAATTAATTACACTTTTCCTTGCAAATCAGAGCCGTGTTATGTTTAGCCAAACGATTCCTTCGTCTAAGATGAATTTTAATAAAAAAAATTTAATTACCGAGACTGCTGATTCGCTAACGAACAAATTGTTTATTAGACCTTAATCGTGTGTTGCTGGAAACACTGAATCTTATAAAAAAGTCACTGTGGCCTTTCACATCATAGTCAATTCACTCATTACGAACTGCGCTGTCTGTAATAAAGAATACATTTTCTTTTTTGTGACACCTGCAATGCCGCGTAGGCTTCGTAAAGTCAAATCAAGTTACCCAGACCACCTTTGATACAACAAGCTAGAGCAACTGTCACGAAATATACTTGAAATAGCTCGATTAAAGGGTTCTAACTGACTCGTGTTTTCTTAGAAAAATGTAAGAACTGAAAAAACCTTTGACTTGGATGTCTAAATCATTTTGCTCTCCGTAAATGTTGTTGTTTTGCAGCAAACCATCCTTTTAGAAGAAGCCTCTCAAATCTTGCTAGGAATAAGGCTGTTCCAACTTCTCCCTGAATATTCCTAGCCTTAAATTCACCAGGAATACACAGTTTTAAAGAAATCCATCGTTAAAACTTTCAGATTTGGTTCAAATAGTTTAAAAATGAATTTGACTGAAATTATGAGGTTCATTGCCCAAAAGTATTTGAGATCTATGGCAACAATACACTCTTCAAAACTTTTACCCTAGTTGAAATCTTTCTATAAAAAATATGTCGGTCAAATGACAGAAAATGCGATAGGGACGAAAAACAAACACAACATATTGCGGGACATTTGACAGATGAGCATAAAAATGTTCAAATTTTCGTTGACCATGTCTCTTGAGAACACTGGAAGCTACAATTCTCCCATTACCCAGTTCTAAAGCTTTGGGTTGAAGGTACACTCCACAAAGATGGCATGAATTGGTTTAATGGCCTACGAATTCATATGATGCCCATTCCTCAAGGTGTTTCAGATATACAGAAGCGTTGTCAAAGAATTTATCCCCAGCCAGATAAGACACTTGCCTTCCTGTCCTCTTCACTGATGGATTTAGAAGACCAAACTGTATCGTCTTAAAGGTTCTGATGATGACTATACACGTGATAAAATCAAAGGAAACATGTCTAAATTTGGAAATTTTGCGTAAAGACCAGAACTAAAACAGATTACAAAGAAGCTCGATAAAAACGTGGGTGTCCTAATCTGCAATACTCGGCAAATTCAACACCATTGCTCCCTACGGTATTTTTAGAAAAGCCGCCGTTGTACATCTAATAGATTTTAATTTTCAACATTGAAATGAACAGATCTTCTAAAATACTGTTGATAAGAATCGACTATAGCCATGACTCGCACAATAAGACGATTAAGAAACTGTGATCAGCACCTTATACTCACGGAATGAAGATTAAGGCGAGGATTAGGTGAGCACAATAATTTATCTTTGACGAATTTATATAATTAGTAAGCAGTCAAATTCTGCGGAGACAGATGGAAAGGTGTTATCACTTCCTCCTGTAATGTTGGAATCATTAGTTTTGACTTGAAAAGGAAGTCTTATGTAGTTAACCTAATAAAATGAAACTACAGCACATCAATAACAGTCCCAAATACGCAATGTGACACCAAAAGCAACTGCTCTGGTAAGTATAAATTATAAAAACCAAAAAAAACTTGAACGGGATTATTGTTTGAAAAGAAAAAGCTTAAGCAGAAAATAGGTAAAGAGATTGAACACTCCACTCAACTCAACTTGAATAGATAAAAAAGTCATAGGAAAGGCATCTCTATTAAAGCAATTGCGGTGTTTCATATTTGCTACATTTTTATCGACTTTTCGCCGCAAGAACTTCTTGGAGCCCGTCGAGCACCCTGCTACAGTGGCCTTTTCTTCATTCACACATAAGAGCACAACCTGTCTCTTCTGAGAGTTTATTGAGGGGTTACCAGGGCCCCCACTTTTTTGCAAAACAATAGAGTTTTTTTCAAAATCTTTTGTTATGGTTGTTAAATTTTCCCTTGCCCCCCCCCTCACTTTTCAACCTTTGTCGGAGCCCATGTTTACAGGGGTTGGATTGCCGGAAAAAATCTTGGCGTTACCGATGCATCATTTGGAATAACAACATATGAACTATTGAGGCTGAATGTATTTTACAAGAAAAAAATGTAGCTAAAAATGTTACCTGCTTCGTCGGTTCCAAGGCAGTTTACAAGTTGTACCAACAATTTTCTTGTATCTCGTCTATTCAAAATTCGTGCACAGCCCTCTTCTTCAATGGTTAACCTTTGAAAAAACACGTAACTCAAAACGATGAAATTTCATTAAAAGGGGCTAATTTGGTAGCAGAAAGCCAAAAGCTTACAAAAACATATTTCTATTTTCAGCTATTATTTACATATAACGAAACAAAGGCTTTTCCAGCGGAATACCGTTTGAGAATAAGAACGCAACGGCTCTAAAGATACGTTTCTTTTTGTAAAAAATACGTATAATAAGACTACTTAGAATTTCAATTTTTTTATACAAGATCTCATTGTTATTTTTCTATCTATACATTCGATAAGATAAATTTTTTACCCAATAATCAATTTCTTCTTTCGTTTATTCAAGTACGGGTCAAAAAAAATTTTTATGAAATATAACTGTGTAACGTAAAAACGTAAACTAAAATGCATTCAGTTAATTTTTGTGTATAAAACTTTTGGGGAATAGCGCAAAATTTTTGAAAGAGAGATGTCAGCGGGTATAGGGTTTCACCTCCTGGCCCTTTTCACTATTCCTTGTCACAATAAAAGGTACATAATCTTAGGCTTGCTTCACATCAACGAGAATTGCTTATGTACGATAAAATAATTTGATTATTGTAGTATGTTATTAAAAAGAATTCAAATCTTTTTTACCTTCAACACTTCTAAAGAAATACAAACCCCATGTGGTATTTCATTGTAAAACATGGTGATTTAAAACGTCAAGATAACGATTACAAAGTAGAAGCAGAACTATGAGACAAACTGGAGAAAACGTTGATTAAAAAATGTGGGTTTACTTGAAACAAAAACCAACAAACAAAACATTAATTACAAAATATACCTGGCTATAATGAGAGCTGCATTGCTAGCAGTCCAAATGTCATCATTTGCCAGTAGTACCGAAATTCTTGTCAAAGTTTCATCAAGTGTCCCTTTTCTCAGCATCCATGATCTTCCCTCAATTGTTTCAGCCTACAAATGTAAAATTACCTTTGCTAAAGTGAAACAAAACTGTAAAAGAGGATTTGGATTGAATTAATATCAACATTTATAATATTAACATCTATAAAATTTTGAAATAATCGCAAAAGATATCATTCCTTTTTGGTAGTAAAGATCTTAGGTTTTAGAATTCAAAACAAGGGGTTAAATACGAATTCCCTACCAGTTTTCATATATTTTATCAGAACATTACAGTCATAGATGTCGGATAAAATTGTACAAAAAGAGCTTCTATTCATGATGCTTCAAGCATAGACTATCATCACGAGTTTTCACTTGAATAGCAGCTATGCTCCAAAGGTTATCAATACAATTAGCTCTTTCTTTGTACATTTCTATCATAGATCCAAAGTTATATTGTTACATGAAAGTGTATGAAACCCATCTAGTCTATAAATATATATTTAGAAAACTGTGGAGCTCTATGATATATATATTTAGAAAACTGTGGAGTTTGACGGTATCAATTAAATTGATCAGAAGTAAAAAATGAGGGACAAGCAAAGAACAATCCAATACAAATAAATCTAATTTAAAAGAATCACAAATTAAAAATTAAGTATGTAATGTTTTAAAAAAAAATTCAGCATGGGGGAGGGGGCTTCATGAGAGTTAGTACAATGGACTGGTAAAAGAATTTTGCAGTAAAGGATGATGATGCTAGATTGATGGTTTTGACCATATTTACTTATGTCTTTAAAATACAAAAGTCTCAATTCATTCCAGTTATGGCCAGAAAAAATCTACAGACATGTGTAGATTATCTTATTAGCTTATAAATTTCTTTGGTTGGAAAATTTTTCTCTTGCTAGCAATTTAAATTTTAATGAATTCATTTTGCTTTAATTTCAAAATGAAATAATTCCTATGAAGTCAAGACTATAATCTCTTATTGATCTGCTTAGCTGGACTAAATATCAGCTTTCAAAATTAGACTGCAATGGGATTAAGGGTCATGGAAGGAAATGTCAACTCCATAAGCCATGCTGACCACAGACAAATGATTTTCGCTTTCTGTCAGACTTATTGAGAGATCTGAGATAGTAGATAACAGCATATGTGCCTGAATTCCTGTTACAAGCCAAAATCCTTGTTCATAACTGAGATCTAGATATTAGAGTAATACATGGAGAAATAACTGAGTTTAGCAAAATAAGAACAATGTAGATAACTGATGTTGATACAAAACTTAGCCTAAAAGGGAAAACAATTCTTTAACAGTAGTTCTCACAAATAATGCAAAATTCACATAATGTCTATGGAGACAGTTAGGTAAAGGAACTGGGAATGAGACATAAAATGATATTAATCATGGAATCAAGGGAAGGGCAGCAGAGAAAACAACAAACTAGTGCAATAGTATTTCAAATATTATTCATTAGTTAAATATGCTGATATTTGGTTAATATTCAAGATTGGTTTACCAATGTTCCTATTGTTCCTGATGCATTCATGACACTTTCATTATCTCTGCAGTACAAAATTTTGGTCAGGTTTGACAGCACATCAAATCCTTCATCCTTGTAGGTGACTATGATTTCTAGAATTCTTCTCCTTCCTACCTCCATATCACAGAGGCTACCAATAACATATGCTGCATGACCTGCAACACTGCAGAAAAAGAATGCAACTATCAATTCAATGCACAGTAAGCTATTTATTCTCATCTCTGAATTAACACTCAAGTCACAGTCAGAAAAAAATTCTTAGCAACTAACTTGTACAGAGCATTGAATAAATGTATAAAGGATGCATAGTTGTCTTTTGTGCTGGTTGGAAAAAACATGATATCACTCTTGAATTTCTAAATAATAAGAAAACTTTTTCCAGGGGAAATTCAGCTGTGATATCACTCTTGTTTACTTATAAATAGGAAGTTCCAAGGTGTTTATAACTTTCCAAACTGAATACAAGATCTTTTAGAACAAAAAGGTATCAAGAAAAGTTTTTATCCAACCAGGCATTTTTTCATTGGGTTACATACTTCCATGAGTAATATAACCCATATAACCCTTGCCTTTTTCTGTGGTGCTTTTCAATCCCTGGCAGGTGGCTAGGAAAAACTAAATTTCTTACCTAAGCCTGAAGGGGGTATATAAAGGGCATTCATGTCTATCCTAATAGGCTTGAGCAGGAAAGGAAAGAAACATTTGCAACATATAGTGTATTGTTAAGACTCATTTCTTGTCTTAGGAATTACTAGTAGATCATCGTGTCCTTGTATGTTTGGAAATTTGCATTCTCTACAATAGCCTTGGAGGAAGTTTTTTGCTTCAACTTCCCTATAACCTTTGTCATGAAGATTAGCTGAGGACCATACAGGGTTTTGAAGTTTTCAAATGGTTAGCCTTTTCTATGGCTAAGCTAAGCACTGGTTTGAAATAAATCAATAACGTTCAGGGTAGCCGTTTTCTTTGTTTCAAAGAAATTGAAAGTGATAATTACTTTAATTGCTAGCAAACAGCTCCCAGAGGAAAAGACATGCATAACAAATAAAATTCAAGACAGAGCGATTCGTTCTTGTAAAAATAAATTATTAGTCGAAAAAATTTGCAACCATTATCAATGAAGACAGTGTAGCGGGGTCCCTACCAACGTTCAGGGGTCAACGAACTTCCTCGATAATATTTTTAAAGAAATCATTCTATCAAAAATATGTAGCTTGTTTACCTTGAGTCTTTGCTAGCAAGTAGTCTGATAATTCCCCATAATATATCTTCTGATCCAGGATGATTGAGTAATTGGTAGCAACATAATTCTTTGTCATCGTGCATCTCTGCAACAAGTCTTTCAAGTGATTCTGGAGTCTTTTCGCCATGGTTTATCAAAAGTTTAAGGCCGCGGTTCAGGTGTCTTCCAGCGTGGAGAAACATGTCTGCTGAAAGCTAATCATTCTTTTGTGTCGTTTATCATCGATGAAAGGGATTTTGTGCTTTTGGTGATTTTGTACTTCACATGTGCAAACATTTAAATCGGCGGATTAAATGAACAACACTTTTGAGATTTCTCATTTCACGCACCAATCCGAGGCGGTTGTTGTAGCAACCATTTAACTTGAAAGTCACAAAAACGGCTAGCAAAAACTTTGCCGGAGACCTGAAAGACCTCGAATTTTTTTGAAACCTAAACACCATCTAAGATCGAAGAAGACACAATAAAATTTACAAATTTTGCCCTTCTGGTAATCAATAAAGTGCCGTGCTATTTTTACAATGAACAACAAAAATTCCATCTTTTGAAAAAAGGAAAAGTGTTGAAACGGTACAGAAATTGTCCGCATCCGCAACATAACCTAAAAAGGCATTTATCTATAAGGCAGTAAAATAACATCGAGCAAAGCCTGCCCCGCTGGTACTGGCATAGGGTGATCTAAGGTCTGGGCATATAATGAGATAGTCCCAAAGTTTTGAGGGAAATGGCAACGATAGAGAGAATAAAAGTGAAACTGAATGAAACTGTACTTATTTTGACAAACATTTGCCTTGGTCTTCTATATTTGCCTTGGGAATCCCACTGTTGGCCAGACTCGATGTGCTAGAGGCGGGACAGGATATCCTCCTCCGCTGAAACTCTGGGACAGGGTACAGTAACTCGCATCAAAAAAATATAGGATTGAGTATTTTGAAGCATATCTCTTCAAGCTACCGTGTGGCACGTGAAGTTGGGGAAATTTATAGTCACTTGATAACCAATGTTGCTGTGTGTTTCTGCTCTTTTCTTGTTTTGTGAATTGATTAAAAAGATGCAGGTCATCAATTAATTTAATCGATATTTGTACAAATTCATATTATATTCTGTATAAAGATTGTGAATAACGCTTTGGCATGCCATACCTTAGTACTATTATGATCAACAAACGGGAGAGAAGAACTTACTCTGGGCTCTGACGCAGGTTGAAAAGTTGGGGGGGGAGGGAGATTTTAACAATCATAACAAAATAATTTTTAAAAAGCTCTATTGTTTTGCAAAATAGTGTGGGGACCATGGCCCCCAGGCTCCCCTTCGTCGGGGTAGTGATTACGTTAGCTATGCTAAGGTTAGCAGTGTTTCTTATGGGAAAAGGTCTACTTTTTAATGTTTTCTTTCAGGGAAGGGTACACTTTTAATATATTTTCATGTGCCAAGGTCAGGATGTAGAACTTGAAATTTTGTGGAAGCCCTTTTTTATAAGTAACTTGCTATTTTATAAATTTGTAGCACAACCTTCATCCCAATCCTTGTTTGGAAAGATTTCATTGAAGCAACTTATACTCAAACATAGACTTGATGCGACAGCATGCAAAAGATTGGGTTTTTCTGCAAACATTTTAATCTGTGGATTTTTCATGATTGTTGTAGTGTGCTTTTTCGAGCAGGAACAATATATTTGAACCTCGTCGTGGTATATTATACTTACGACACTTTCTTTTGATCGCTTATTCTATTGAAAAAGCGGCGCCTTTTCGCATTGTGGCCAAAGTATAAATTACAGAAATTTTCAGATTCAGGTACACAATTTATTTCAATTGTGAGTTTTCTTTAAATATTTGACAGGGTTAACCAAAAGAAGAAAGCTGCAAATCAGTCAAAATTTCTGTTTTAAGACACACAAATTTCGTAAAATGCAGAGGCTGCAATCAGTTGAAAATATTGCAAATCTGGCGATCCCGTCCAAAATATTGTTTAGTGGGGATTAAGTGTCACTCACTGCCTAGCTCATCGTATACTGTATCTGCTCAAAACTGGAAGAGTGATCAATATACAGGGTATTAGTGAAAGAAATGATGATCAGATGTTAGAAAAGGTCTTTCTCACACATGAAGACCCTCAAAGCAGAAACCCAGATGAATAAACATATGATTTATGCATAAAACTAAAGGTTTAAGTTTACCCACTATCTGTCTGATGACACAGCGATCCATTCTTAAGAATATCTCATGCAAACATATCGGTTTTTGTGAATACTTCTCAAGAAAACATTTGGTTCTTTTTAAAATAACGAGTAAACAGCGTAACTCAGTTTGTTTGATGTTGACTTGGAGACTATTGTATGAAGCAGTTTAATTAGTTTAAACAAAGACGGCTTATGACGGCCTAACGGCAAGATCAAACCTGTTCCAAATGTGAAATCAACTAAAAAAAGATATAATTATGATACCTTCGGAAACAGCAGGATGCCCTATTTCATTCTTTATTCAAGCTCCTTTTCTCCTGAAAATAGCTCTTCTGAAACCCGTATCCGCCGAGAGGTTCCTCTTGAAGCAGTCAAGTAGTTATAGCTATTCATGGGAAGAGCCCCTAGTCTTAGAGTTTATCTTAGAGAAGAATGACGGTGTTGTGCCTGCCAGAAAATGTTTTACAAACCTGTCCTGGAATAAAGTTCTAAAAGCATATCAACTGTCCTGGAAATATATATTCCTGAAACATAATACCTGAAATCACGATATCTTCAATCGGCATTATACCTTTGCAAGAAAGAAGAGACAAAAGGTACAACCCTTTCCTGGAATTTTCAGCCGAAAATTAGATCCTGTTAGGAGGCACAATTCCAGTTTGTCATTAAAACAAGTAGCGAGCCCCCGTGGGTGACCCAAATTGAGGGAGAGCCATACCTCGAGAGAGCAGGGTTTTAAACAATAAAAACATATAAAAACAGCATTATAAAATAAGGAACTTGAAGCGTCTACTTGAAATGAAAAAGTGTCCAAAGTTGCTTTGAGTCATGAAGGGAACATATTAACTACAAAAGGCTAGTTTTTATTAATTTCTTTACATCTTTTATACGATTAGACTATTTTCCACTCATTTTTCACATTTCTTTACCAATCAACAATTTTCATTATTTATTTAGTTTTTCCACAGTTGACAAATTTATATCTGTTTTATTTCTATTATTTTACGGTTGACTAACTTTTATCAATTCTATTTGACTTTATTCACGGCTGAATGAGTTCTATTAATATTTTTACTTTTTTACGGTTGATTGATTTTTATTAATTTGATTTTATTTCTTTTCATGGTTCAATGATTTCTATTAATTTTATTTGATTTTTTCACGGTTGAATGATTTTTATCATAGTTGAATGATTTTTATTAATATTATATTTTTTCACGGTTGATTGATTCTTATAAATTTCATTTGAGTTTTTCATGATTGAATAATTTTTATTAGATTTATTATATTTCTTTTCATGGTTGAATGATTTTTATCAATATCAATTGATTTCTTTTCATGGTCAAATGATTTTTATTAATCTTATATTTTTTCACGGTTGATTGATTCTTATAAATTTCATTTGAGTTTTTCATGATTGAATAATTTTTATTAGATTTATTATATTTCTTTTCATGGTTGAATGATTTTTATCAATATCAATTGATTTCTTTTCATGGTCAAATGATTTTTATTAATCTTATATTTTTTCACGGTTGATTGATTCTTATAAATTTCATTTGAGTTTTTCATGATTGAATAATTTTTATTAGATTTATTATATTTCTTTTCATGGTTGAATGATTTTTATCAATATCAATTGATTTCTTTTCATGGTCAAATGATTTTTATTAATTTTATATTTTTTTACGGTTGATTGATTATTATAAATTTTTTTTTATTTCTTTTCATGGTTCAATGACTTTTGTTAATTCTATTTCTTTCATGGTTGAATGTCTTTTATTGATTTTATTTGAATTTTTTTACCTCTTAATGAGTTCTCTTAATCTTTTTACTTTCTCACAGTTGAATACTTTTTATTAATTTTATTCGAATTTGTTCATGGTTGAATGATTTCTATTGATTTTCTATTTGATTTCTTTTAATGGTTGAGTAATATCATTTGATTTGTTTCACGGCTGAATGATTTATATTGATTTTAATTTATTCTTTTCATGGTTGAATGATTTTTGTTAATTCTTTTTTATTTTTTTCTTGGTTTAAGGATTTCTGTGGTACTCTATCACCCAGGTATATGAACTTTGTTGTTTTGCAAGCTATCGAATCATTTATTTACAAACATATTTAATTTTGAAGTAGGAATTCAAATTTTGCTTTGGTTTTTGGATGTTGTACATCGTAAATTGAAATTTTACGCTTTCTGTAAAACAATGCCTCATTTTACTGAAGAACTTTTGGTTCACATAATCTCATATTGACACAATCCTTGTTAACTGGTAAGTGCAACAGTGTTTGTTTCTAGTTTTCCGACATTCCCATTTGACTGGTTTGAAAGCTATTTAAACACAGTTTTGGAAATTTTATTATGTCATTATTCTTATAGACCATGTTTTGAAAGTTTATTTTGAAAATACTGAAATTATCATAAAATGAGGCAGTGACCTAGTCTGGAAGTTACACAGAAAACAGATTCCAACAAAATGACTTCTAAAAAACTGGATGCAAAAAACAATGCTAAACTAGTGGTATTTTGTAAAAAGTTCAATACTATCTATGATTTTGATAATGTTGAGGTATTTTAGTTTGTGTTAAAGCTTTTTGTTGGTTTTACTCAATCAATTAATTATCATTATAGCAGCAAAAACGAAACTTCAAACATGAAAGTCAATAAAGGTTACCATTTTACCTACAAAGTCACCCGCGGAATACTGTTCTCCTTCTAGCTTTTTCTGCTGAACTTCTTTTGCAGTAGACCCTGGACAGATTTTCTTGTGAATGCTTTTCTTATGTGTACTCCAGCCTCAATACCTAAACATTGGCAAAGAACTGTTTTCAATGTTGCTCTCATTAAAAAATGGCGAGCCATTGATACAGCTGTTTGCAGAGTATGCCTTCAAAAAGAAATAACTTATGGGCAGATTCGTTGCTGTTTTGCGTTGAAGCCCGTTACATCTTTTCAATAAATTCTCATCCGAAAGTCGTTGAAAAATTTGTACCAGTTTCTTTGCTACATCTGGTGACAGTGTAGCATGAGCCTTGTGATTGATTACAAGGGATGTTGCCTTTTGCAAGATCTCTCTGCCAGAAACACCAAGATGTAGCACCTGGGGGACAATGTGTATGCTTTGGATTGGTATCTAAAGAGGCTAAATGAAAAAGAATTGCAAAAATTAGATTCTTCAAGAGTGGCACACCATCTGAGTGTTCCTTGACAGCTTTACCATAATAGTTTTTGATTTTTTGCACCTTTCATTGCTGTATAGCTACAGCCAATTCCTCTGAACGCAACTGTTACGGAGATACTTATTTCAAAGGGCGAGCTGACAGCCGAAGAATTATTTAGCCTTTTGTAGAGATAGCCTTTAAAAGTTGAAATGTTGCGGTTGCGACAGACTACCTTCGCAGCAGCAGCAAATGCTAAAGACTGATTTTCATCAATTTCAATGGTCATGGTAGGCGTCAGACATTGCTAGCACAAAGTCTGACTGAAAACCTGGAATAAAACTAACTTTTGAATAACCAAATAGCAGTCGCTATCCTTCCTATAAGAGTTGTCTGCAGTTGATATATCGAGATCAATTCCGAAAAAGTTCTTCTTCGCTTCGGTTTGAGATAAGGGAGGCCTAGTCAAAACATCACATTGTCTTTGCAAGCCTGTAACAGTGCTAACGTCTTGTAAAGCTTGATCATGTCCTCGTATAGGAGTGGCAACTTTTGTCTGCAAATTTTTATTTTTTCTTCAACGCAAAAAATAGCTTGCGACTTCTAAGTTTCACAACTTATTCCATTTCACTTAGCCCCCCTGTCATTTCTAAAATGTACTTAAAACAATACAAAGAATTTCCTATCTCTTGGTTTTTAGCATAGTTACCCTGCCCCCCTAAAACGTTTTAGCCCCCTAAATCTGTAATATGCTTTGCGGTCCTTGGTAAATTCCATCAAATCAGATCATGGCTTCTTGTTCCAGTACGACAACGGCGACAACATCAGTGGAACCAAGGCCGTTCTGCCGCGCTTCATCGATTCTGTCGAGCATAATCGGGTTAGAGTTCCTGCCTTTCGTGTGCTTTATACAGCAAATAGATCTTGCACTTGAGAAGCACGACGTATATCCCGGGCCTAACTCTTAATTCTAGCGGGGGATGTTGGTTCCAGTACTTTTCGCATGGGTAAGTCTCACACCAGATTTTAACATGGGACCCACTGTAACGAGATTCTTACAGATTGCAACTGTGATGAAAGACTAAGGAGAGTAATACAAATGTAAGGAGCTTTAGCTCAAACAAGTCAAACAATCTTAGAAAGCTGTAGCACAGGGCCGTTTTTAACATACTTACTGCGGGGGCAATTGCCCTACCATCCCTCGACTTTGCCCCCGCACTCAAGAGATTTTTGACCCCAGAAAATAGTCCCTTGTTTGTCACCACCACTACGTAGAATTGTGAGGCACACCTGCAGGAGCCATAAGTAATAGAAAACGATTGCAATACGATATCATAGGTGTCTACATGGCAGTGATTTCATAAGTTTACATGGGAGACTTTTATACAGTCGAGAACTAAAAAATTGAAGGAAATTAGGGGATCAAAACTAAATGAAGATGAATATTGGCACTCTTTAGTATAGGACTCAAATCTTTAAAGAATAAGGCCCTTAAAATTACTGTTTAATTCCTGTATCACTGTGGTCATTAATTTCACTTTAGTAAAAGCAACGGCACAGAAGATGTAAGGGGTCAGACAGCAAAATTAGCTGTGGATTGTGTTTGTCTACATTTAGGTACAAATTGTGCCACAAATTTGATTGTGTTTTTGGTTTGCATGATTCATCCCAATTCCACTCATCTTCGAACAGTTCCGTTGCAAAGAGATTCTTAGCATAGTGAATTTTTGGCTACGTTCCATCTTAGAGTGTCTGATTCAACTGAATAATCCAGGCATATCATGGGATCAAGTGAAAGAGTTTTCAGATAACGTCTTCGATTTCAGGCCAAACAAGACTTTTCAACGAGGATTTTATACATGCTTAGAAGAAGTACTGGACTTGTTCAAAGTTTGCTGTCTGCCATTATCGTCGTATCACCTGACAGTATGACCTTTGAAAGAAGTGTTTCTGCATACAACATTATATATTCATAATTAAGAGAATCAACATTAACAAATAAACTGTTCATTGCATGGAATGGCGTCTCAACATCCAAGTTTGACACATGGGCAGCCATAACAAGATTTTTTCAGAAAAAAGATCGTCATGAATCAAAGCCAACTATAGAAACTTACATAAATAGAACATTTATTTCTCAGTTTTTTAATGGATTTTCTGGGACTTTGGTCAGAAATATTTTCAGTTTTGAATAATATCTTAACTTCAAGTGTCAACACAAAGCTGTTTCATTTCATTTGAAATACGAAATGAATTTCTTTGAAGTATGGGATCATAAAAGCTTCCTAGAAAATACCCCTTATCTCCCGTTTATGCTTGTTTATCTCGTCCTTTTTCAAAAATTGCCCCCTACTTAAAATTTCTTTAAATATGTACTGCTGTAGCAAATTTAATGAAATTAGGAAACAGAATTTGTTTGGTATGGGTTACAAAAGTGTGACAGAAAACAATGACGAATCGAGGAAAATAGAGAGCTATATAAAACGAGACCAAAACATAGGTAAGTAGACACTTTTGCTCTATATAGTTTAAACTAAATAACTAAGCTTTATACCGGAAAGTTCACATAAGTGATAAGTGGTACATAGAATTAGAAGCTAGATTGTTTCCAAAACACTAGCCTTAAAACTCCAAACATTACGGGACTCAAATTTCGCGCCAATTGAAACCTCGTTGTCAAGCTGTCAAAGTAAATACGTTCAGACAAGCTACACGTTGTGTTTAGTCGTGAGAGTGCGGTGTTGCGGGTTGTTATGGGACTCCAGGGTGGTTTTATTCTTTTCATTCAATGATGGATTATAATTAGCAGTGCATTGAAAGAATGAATTACCTCTCCATAGATGTGGTTCAAATGTTCTGCTTACTGCTCGAGTCAAATTCCAGATAATGGGGCCTAAAATTGCAAATGGATTAATAATTTGCCTGTTATTTCATTTTGTATTCTGTCAAGAGCCAAGCAAACATGAAACCGGAGAAGGTCATGATACTTTTGGCCCAGATAATGAGATTCCAATGCAGCAATTTTCAATATTGACTCCTCATAATGAAAGTGCCTCGAGCATTGACACGCGTGGATATGTTTTGTACTGTCCATGTATGGGTGTGTATCTGAATGCTATTTTTTATAACTTGATGGTTCGTATGACCGGAGTGTAGGTTTGTTTTATGATATGCCAATAAAAGGCTTTTTCAAAAATTTGTTTCTTTGGCAGTTTCTTCTAAATGGGTTCAAGTAGTTGATTTTCAAAAAGCTATTAATTTAACCTGAGTGTTCTTTTCCGCAGGTAGATTTGGAAATCAAGCTGAACAGCTACTTGGATCTTTGGCGTTCGCAAAGGGGCTAAACCGGACCCTTGTCTTACCACCCTTTATTGTTTACCCAAGGAATAGCCCACTAGGCTCTGTGAGTATTGACAGGGTCTTGATTTATTGCATGATTAATATTTCTTTACGTTTATTTATTAGCTACGGGAGAAGTTTTAAACTTTTCAATATGTAAAATATTTCTTCCTTGTTTGAATCAAACATTTTTCTTGTATTTAGGAGAGAGTAAGGTTTTCAAAATGGTTTGCTATCAAACCACTAAAGGAGTTTCATAGAGTAATGACAATGGAAAAATTCATGAAAGAAAAAGCTCCAAAAATTTGGCCAGAAGGAAAGCGCTATGGTAGGTAACTTTAAGAATTTGAATTTTAAATGTCCTAAAATTTATACTGAGAGGCAGCAGTTGAAAATCCAAACAACATTCTTAAGGAAATAATGATCCATTGATTACAGATTGACTGGACATATATGGTTTACTATTCACAATGGACAAGAGTTTTACCTTTGAATTCTTCAGGGGGGTTCAAAGAAGTTAGAACAAGTAAGTTTAGGCTTGGGTACCATGGCAGGGGCACTACAAAGGAATTTTTGTAAAATAACGGGTGCACTCTTGCTCACCCAAAAGATGGGCATGGTTGGGCATGTTTTTGGATGTGGCTCAAATTAAAAAGTTTTTTTTCAAATACAGCAAGATGACTTTCTTAATTTGTTCACAACTGAGATTGTCATTCTAAATTGAGTGATCCACTTGAGATCAGGGCCACCAAAAAGTTTTAGTGAGCCCGGGGCCAAACTGAAAATAAAGCTCTTTGCGAGCGGAGGGAGCAGAAAATTTTTGCCACCATGTCTTTAGATTAGTTTCAAATACACTTCAGAATATTCTTTGCGGTCATTTTCTTGCAGTTGTTTCAATATTACTTTGTTTCAATTGTTTCATTGTCACATTTTACTATAATTTCCATTCTATCATTTAACTATATATACCTTCCCTAGACATCTAGGCCCTTAGGCAATTTGGCCCGTTATCCCCCTTTTGCTCTTGGTAGTCCTTTGGATCATCCTCGTGATACTCTTAGGAATATCAAGTTTTGGCCTTTTTATTTAAATTATCCCTTCACTTGCTAAACCTTTGCGAATTTGGATAACAACCACTGATGGTAGTGGTAGGTAATCATAGTTGGTCTCTCAATCATAAAATTCCCTGAGATGTAAAATTGATGTAAACAGGAAAAGTGCCAGACAAAATATGCACACACTCAAGAATCACTGAAAAATTGATGCACACTCAAATGTGCACATTTGTCACAAATGCACTCTTGCACTCCCAGTAAAAACTTGTGCACTCCTGAGATCTTGCTGAAAATTGCCATGAAATCCAGACAGGCCAATCATTAACAAAATATCTTACTTAACATTGAAGGGACTATGATTCCCTAGTCTGCCCTTTGCTGTAGCCCCTTGTTAAGAGTTTATAAATTTCATGCTGTTTTCCTACAAGTTGTTTTAAAGTCATATTTTTTTAATTCTTTTAATTTTTAAAAAATGTCAAAATGTAGCACCATTTTTCAGGTTTTTGCTATTCCTTCAGAGATGGCAAAAAATGTGCTATGAAGGATGGCAATCCATTTGGGCCATTCTGGGACCACTTCCATGTAAGTTTTGATGGTTATGTTGACCATCCTGGCATCTTATGGAGTTCAAGCCTAGACTATGTTGCAGATCAATGGCACAAAAGGTAAAAACATTTAACAGATTTCAGTATGAGAGACTTCCACTAAGAATAGGTTATTTAAGACAACAAATAATTAATATTCTTTGATCTTAGCAGTGTACTAAGAGCTTGTGTATATTTGCAGAGACTGACCAAATTGTAAACATTCTTTGAAAAGTTTGAATCAAACAGCTGCTACATGAAATTTGAATGCTTCAGCTAATATTAAAAAGTTTGTCAATACTTTACAATCACGTTGAAATCATCGTTTTGCTGTTATCTGCTGTTATATAATTTGGGGAGTGCTGGACGAGAAGTTTGTCTGATACTGCACCATGTTTTTGCTTTTCATGCCATTTTCAAGTGTTATATAATCATATAATCTGGATCAAAGATGAATCTTTATAAACTCAAAGTTCTCGGTTTTTAGATTTCCACCTTCAAAGTATCTTGTGTATGCATTCCAAGGTGCCCCTGGGGATTATCCATCAAAACAAGAAAATCATGATATTCAGAAATACATTAAATTTTCAAAATACATTGATCAAAAGTCAGATGAATTTATCAAAGATGAGATGAACAGGGATCCATTTGTTGCTATTCATCTTAGAAATGGTGGTGACATGGTGAGTTAAAGTGATAGTACTGAGCATGTCAAATACTAAATTTGTGCCCTCAAGGGCTTTATTCAAACAGCATTTACTAATGGTCAAGTAAAGGTTGTTTAATTGAGCTTGATTGACCCTAAATTGAACTAAAGAAAAATTTATATTGGAAAAAGACCCTTTTTCAATTCCAATTTATTTTTATAAGGGTCATTGATTGAAACCATGCTAGTACAAAGTGATGTGGTAGAAAGAACAGGTTTTTATAAGCTGTCAACAGGATATTTTTTAGGTTTATTTGCTATGAGCAATCTTTAGCTACCTTTGATAGGTCAAACATTATGAATATTTTTAGCCTATTTTATCTTGGAAGAAGATTCTGGAACCTTGTTACTAGCTTCCACTCTTTTATCCTATAAAATGCACTTGTGCAGCCCATCCTTAAAAGTAACATGTCTTGTCCAAGGCAAAGTCAAATGGCAAATATCTATTATGTAGGAATGTTACTTGTCATTGTACATTCTCTAAGCATGCAGTTACAAAGCTTGCTGGACAATGTAAATTCAAAAACACCTTTTTAAAGGCCTGTTTCCATCACCTACAAATTTTCTTATTCTTAAAGACATTTTATATTACAGTGAATTTTCGGTTTAAAACTAAACAATTCAAAGCATTAAAAGCAATGATATTTGCAGAAAAATCTGTTATAATTGAAAAATTGTGAATTATATCATCTACTTTATTGTTGGACTAAAGATGACAGAATAGCCAATCAAAGTGATATTTATCCTAAAACACTATGTTTGAAGTGATCTCTTGATAAACTTTTCATCAAATCCTCTTAAGTTGCTTGTGTTCTTTTCACCAGAGGAGTGTATGCGATGAAGTTAAAAATGGCAAGATAAATAAACTATTTTGCTCAGAGCAATGTACTGGATACAATGGAGAACGCGAGTTGACACACGAAATGTGTGCTCCGTCAAAGAAAGAAATTATCCGCAAGACAAAAGAATACCTAAAGAAGATTTCAGCCGATTCAATAAGATTGTTTATCGGAACAGATAACAACTCAATGATTAAAGATTTCCAAAAAGCACTGAGGAGAATGAAGGTAGGTATTTTTACTAAAAAAAATTTATCCATACAGAATAATGAGAGATTCATGGGAAGATGATTGAGGGGTATCAATGTTTGGAGCTGGAGGTTTTAGTTCTACAGCAAAGGATTCCTAAGGTTGCACGTTTCAAGACCATGCATAAAAGAACATTGGCAAATGGCTAAGGGAAATTGCTTTCAAGTGTAGCAGGTCCTGTGGTGCGAAGCACAAAAACATTCATCATAACAATCTTTCTTTTCGCGCGACACTGTTTTTAAAACAGCTGGTTTAAATGATTGGGTTGGCTAGAGGGCTGGTTAGCCAGGTGGTTGCGAGGTTCCTGAATTTAAGAACACAAAATGCCACTCTGATGCCTATTTAAAGCCTCTTCGACCCACAGGCGCCTTTCATATCGAGCTTGCAATTAATTTGTCACGATTAACCAGCATTTGTGTGCCACATTCCCTACATCTCCTATACATTCACCAACTAGTAAATTTCTCTCAAGGGTTGTTCAGTCGATAGTATTGGAAAATGATACCGTTTTATGATCAAAATTTGATTTGATGACCTCACTAAGAGTCGTGCTGGTGCTGGCTCTATTCCTGCAAACTGAGGCCTGAGTAACCATGGCAATTTACGTTGTATATGCAGCCTGATCAAAACGTTTATTTCAAAATGATATCACTGTGATGATTGCTTTGTAAAGGAATATACAAGCTATGCAACTGCTATCACATTGATACATTTTCTCCTAGGTAAATATTCATGTCCGTGGAGAAGATGACGAGAAAGATGACCCCATTATTGATATAGCAATAATGTCAAAAGCGGACTATTTCATTGGAAATTGCGTTTCATCGTTCTCAGCTTTTGTCAGAAGACAGAGAACTGTAGCTGGCAAACCAGTTGCATTTTTCGGCCTAGATTAAAGAGGCTTTAACCACGGTATATTTATTAAAATTTCTGTCAGAAAATATGTAAATAGGAGCACGTAGCAGACATCAGCTACTTTGTAACAATTGTAAAAAATATATGTTTAATGCCACCCAGCTAGACGTTCGTTGCTTTTACTACCTTTTCTAGTGAGAGACTTGAATATTCTCAAAATCTTATCGTGGTTTCTTTTCTAAGAATCAATTGTAGAATTTGAAGCCATATCCTTACAGAAGGATGTAGCTTCCTAACATGATTACAGCATAGCAATTGTAAATATTTGGTAAGTGCTTTGCGAAGCCTGTCACTCACTGTACTCAGAAACGCTAACATCATAAGCAGCTCTCACATTGCCATACTAGCAAGAAACGTATTGGCCAAGACTGGGGTAGTGTATCCCCGGCTAGTCCTAAAGATTTGACAAGAGATATGCCTGTTATTCAACTGATTAGAAATGCGATTTCTACGAAGAGGCAATTCATTACCTGGCCCATTTCTTTAGCTGGTTCATGACTTCTCCTTAAGCGCTCTTGTACAGTTCCTTCTTTAACTTTCTTGTCGAAGTTATCTTCAATAGCTGTTAGGATTCTGTCCTGGAATAAAAAAATGCTATAATGTTTGAATAAAATCAATACAGAAGTACAGAGAATCCCAGCATATTAGATCCTAGTGGATCAAGACCCTACAGCTTGCGGTTTTGAAATGTGGTCCAGTTCAGCCTGAAAACTGGAATTGGTTCTAAGTTGAAGATTACTAAAAATTAGAAATGGAAAATTTTTCTAAAACATTCCTTAAAAAAGCCGGATGCCTTGTGAAAGTAGATGGGTAAAAACAATTTGGCTTTGAGGGGGACCTTTGAAGAGACACTTAAAATTAAAAGCATTTTTTCGTTCAACTCCAAATATAAATAACCTATTCAGACTGAAAAGAAAAGCTTTAAGTTCTTAAACATGGCTGTTAACTGTATTCTAAATTTCTACCGTCACCTCCTAGTTGAAAATTTAAAATTAAAGATCCAGCAACTGCTTAACGAATCAAGAAACTCTTAAAGGTCTCAGGATCCTTACAAAATTTATCTTTTATGAAAGAAATCTAGAAAGTATGTCATTTACAACGTTAAAATATTCGATAATATTTTTAGGTCATCGTTGTAAAGATCTCAAAATACTGGCCCCATCTCTACAAAGAACACCAAGAAACTCTCTTTGACTGTTTATCTATGTGTTTGCAATACATAGCATCAAACAAGACCCAAATAACTGCATTTCTGAAATGCTAAGCTTGTATAGTAACGATTAAGTTCTCGACGATAAGAGAATTATATGCCCCCTTTTTTGCTGTTTGAGTGAAAAATATGAATATTTCATACCCGAAATTTATCATGAAGTTTGTCAAATGTTGTTTTGAACAAATGCGATATGCGAATCGACTTGGTGGGGTGAATGCAAGGTGGCAAAATAGAATTGATACCTTTCCTTTTTTTTCAAAAAGAAAGAAATCTCTGCCATAGAATTAGCATTGACAATATTCGTTGCAAATATAAATCGACATAAAAAAACACCAATTTCTTAAATGCATTCTTTTCTTGCTATATGGCTATTAGAAACAAATAGAGCTTGCGTTCTTTCATCTGGCCAACATCAACGAGCTCTACGTTACTTTATAACATTGGTGAAATATTAAAAAGTTTTGTCTCAGTGTCAGAGATACAATGTAATAATTTCAGTAACAATCCTTCTCCCTGGAATCAAAAACATCCTCTTAACAATGTCACTGAATACAAATAAATTTTCAAGTTTCACTAGAAATCGAATTATCACTGTCAACTAAGCAAGACTTAAGCAGTGTTTTGGTTTTCGTGAAATCCAAACATTTTATCAGCTTAGTAAAGTAATTGTGAGATTGCTTGCTCAGCTGTTTCTTCGCTTCTTTTCCCCACCAATGATGCAAAGGAAAAGTTTCTTTGATCAAACAAATTGAGCATTTTTTTAAATATACCTGGGAGACGGGGGTGCCCATTATGTAATTGTCAATGAAATTTTGTTTTTGAGCCTAATCATATAAGGCCTAATCATAGAAGATTTTTCCATGAAATTAAATCGTCTTGATAAAAACTGTTCTCCTTGGTCTACCGATTGTGTAATACATACAGACTTTCTTGTACATACGGATCAACAATATAATCAGTTATACAAATCATTATCATGTTAGCCTTATTTTACAGTCGTACATGATTTATTTGATCACGTGATTACGTCTGCCCATGAAACATCATACTACCATCATTACTTGCTAAAAGAATGTAAGATATTGAATCCGCCATGAATACCTATAAATAAAAAACCAGCTAGAAAACCTCAATTTCCAAATAAATACTTCGTATTCATCCGGAAGTGACAATTGCAAAAACTACACTGGAAAGCCATTTCTTTCGACAAAAACTCTTGTCTAGTTTCGTATCTGCTGATAAAATGTATTGAAACTATATTTCCTGGCCAGCTTCCAAGCGTTTTCATTGCCAAGTTGCTTGTGCATAATTTCTAAACATGTATAGAATGCCAAAAAATATACCAAATTAAATTTTCAGGTAGGCCATGAGATCTTACTTCTACTGATACCCCCTGGAGAAAGTTTTCCTAATGAGTAATTAGCATACTTAAGCTAAGGTTCGTGATTAGCAAATGTTTGTAGACCTATAGGTAGTACATTGCTCATCTGATTGCACAAACTTCGTTTTAAACAAAGTGATTTTAGCTATGGAAGTTTCGAATCAACTAAGGCTGTTAATGATCCTAATTTTTTATGTAGTTAGCACAAGAAATTCAGACGCGCTTGAGTGCGATTTAGAAAATTGGTTGAAAGGAGAGTCAATACCAGCTTTAATCAACTCATTTGAGAATGGGGAATGTGAACAGCACTTTATCGGGGAAAGAAAAGCTTCAAAAGAGTTACATTGCGTGGATCATTGCTACAGAACTCAGAACTGCCAGTCCGTGAATTACGATGGTGAATCACATAAATGTATGCTGATGGCAATACCCATAAACCCTCTGTTAGCAAATCGATGTATAGTCACGAGTGATAGTGTTCATAATTCGAGTCCGATGCTCATTAAATCAATGCACATCGATATAAAAAGGACCAAGTTCATGAAGGTAAACCCACTTTTGTTCACATTTTGTAAATTGACTTATGCAGAATTGTGAAAATATATTCTTTTGGTGACAATTATTTTGCTTAAAGTCGAGCAAATGTGGGTCGTGATTTGGTGCAGCAGATGAGGTAACTCTGAGTTATTGTGATTGTAAAAAATTATCTACTTGAAGCATCTAGCATATGAGCAAATGTACGGTTGCAAATTAAAGAATTTTATAGTAATTTCAAGAGAAACTTCAGGTGCTTGAAGAATTAAATTATTTTGATATCCGAAGTAGATAGCCAAGTAGATAAAGTTAGTGCTGTTTAAGGTAAAGTTCAGATTTTATTAGATGATTTGGGTAAGATAAAAAACTAGAGTTTAATTATGTGAAATAAACATCTTTGGAAGATTTCAATCTGCTACTAAGCGAAGTCATCGAATGGTTCTTAATCCAGTGACGGGACAGATTGGATAATAATTTACTACTTGATGTTGCTCAGTGGTGGGATTTACGGGGACATAGAGGCAGTCCCCCTCAACGAAATTCGAAATATACAATGAGTGCTGTTCTAACATGTATTTATTTATGTTTGGAAAATACACTAGAGACAAATTTGTTCCTCCTTTGACACCAATTGTTACCATCATTGCTAACAAATGTTACCAAATGTGTCCACCCTTCTCCACACCCAAGGATTTTTGCATTCCTCAATATTGCTCTATTTTAAGTAAATGAAAATTTTGAATAGCAAATTTGTCAATTCCTTACCATAAGAATCGAGACTTTCTCGGCTCACTCAAATACTTCTATCATTGCAGTCATGCAAAAAAAGTGAAAAATGAAGAAGAAAGCCTTTATGAAAACAGTTCACAAGCGAATCGAAAAGAAAGAAGATCAATCAGTTGCAGGTCAGATGCTTAATGGAATCAAAGTAGCGAAAAGTTAAAGGTTCAAGATGCGCTGATCCAAAAACTTACTTTTCTACAAGCAAAATCAATTAACGTATTCCTTAATGTTTGAAATTGTTTTGACAGACACGATTCTCCTTAATAGATTACATGAAGATAACAGGTTCAATTAGAACAATAAGAACGTTCTGTTTGTTTTCTACATGTCTCTTTGCTTTATTTATGTTAATTTGCTTCAGCTGGGTGGCTGTTGTGGGGCACCAAAGGTATCAATTTTGGGAAAATGACACTAGGACAGAAGAAGGTGACTTGTGATTTATGTCGGTATGTGAATGGTTGAGAGTCTAGACTTCTTAGAATACAATGAAAATTACTGTTAGGATTTTGCCCATGATGAAAGTGAATTCTTTTTAGTTCGGTCCTAGCATAATCCCTTTGATAACAAATGTTTTAGATGCAAAGCTTCAGCTTGTATAGAAGCATCAGCTGATGTGCATACAGCGTTGATTTGATTGCTCTGCAACCTGCTGGACACAGTTATATTGCTTTTTGAAATAAATCGATTATTTATTTAGCTGCAACGTTACAGAAACAAAATGCAATCGCCACTTGAGTGCAATTAATTAAACTTCTTTTTTAACGAAGCAATTTTAGCTGACAAAGTTTCAGGGGATTGGAGGTCTCTTATCACGAAGTTCCTGCAGTACCTTGAGGAACAGTGTTTGTTCGGGAGGTATGGCATTAAAATAAATGGAGAGAGGAGTAAAATAAATGGAGTAAAAGTTGGAATCAATGGAGAGAGGAGAGTTCAGGTAGAGGCTAGGTGCAATATCATCGATCTAAGTTTCAAGAGAGAAAACATTTGCTCGAGTATTTCATTCTTGCCCCTGAATCGAATCACATTCCAAGTACAGAATTTGATGTGTTTTGCACAGATTAAAAGTACAAGCGTCAATAAAAGAGATGCCAATGAAGAAATCACAAGTAATCGCTATTAGCTTGGCCATGATAGTGCATACCCTGAATAGTGAGGAGAAGTGCGACTTGGCAGCAGGCTACGACGTGCAGGAGCAGTACATTTTTCAACAAAATCATTTAGTGGAGCTAAATAAAAAGCATCTGCACACAGTGTTGCAATGCCGTGACATTTGTCTTAGAGATAAAAAGTGTGAATCCATCTTTTACAGCGTAAATGATGCTAAGGTTATTTGTCATCTCCTGGCAAGTTCATTGTCCGAAACTGGAAATCACAGCTTCCAAGAGTCCATCAGCAATATAGTCTCTGGACATAGGGTATTTGAACGAATTATTGGCATAAAATTTGGAGAGGTACGTATATTTTTAAGTATCATCAGGAGGGGGCACGGTAGCCTGCGTCCCAGTCCATAAATACTGTGTTGTGGCAGCATTTGTGGACTGGAGCGCAAGCTAAGGCGCAGGGGTACATATCCTAGGCCAAAACCTGAGAATAGGCCAAGAAGAACCATGATAGGTTTTACTCGTTGTTTTGAGTCTGAATAACTCAAATTTATTGTTTGTTTACTTTTTTCTTTATCGACGAATCAGATCACAAGATAAATGATAGATAGTTCTGTAAACGAGGGTTGTTAAATAGAGAGACACACTTCATGGGCAGAGGCTTTGAAAAGGGACTTACCGAACCGTTATCTAAATGGTTAGGTAAAGAGTATGAACATCTCTTAAGATCCTCTCGTCAAAAAACACGGTGGTGGATAGGGGCGTCTACCTCTTAAATGTCTCTACATGGAAGTCAGGTTTCCCTGGTATCATTTGCCAACCAATTGATAGATTTAAATTTACTTTCAGGCTTTGAAAGGCAGAATATATCCCAAATTAAAGAAACAAATGAAACATGGGACATCAAAATTATTTCTCACAATACAAATTAAAGATTAGAAACAATTTTGCAAAAAAATACCGTATTTGCTCTAATATTCCCGCTTCTCTTTTATTCCCGCCTCTCTAGTAATCCCGCTTGTATTTCATAGATTGTAAGAATAATCCCGCCTCCCCAGTAATCCCGCATGCGGGATTGAAACTTTTAATTGGCATTTGCTATTCTTTACACACTTTGTATGGGTTGAAAATCAAGGATTGAAACTTATGCTTGGAGTGAATGGGTTTAATCACATGATAATGTCTTAGACGGGAGAGGTCCAAGAGCTGTCTTATTTTGCAAGTTTATCAAACATCCAAGTCTCGCAGCATAAAAAGACGTTTGATCCTTTGACTTCGTACTACTGTCTATAAAGCACAATATCTGCTCTGTCTTGTCTGTGAAAATAAATATCCCACCCCCCCCCCCCCCATTAAATTTTAACTCCCCATACATATTGAAATTGCAATTTTTTTTCTCTGATTTGCCACAATCATGTTTAAGAGACTTTTTTTGTTGAAACGGTATCCTCAAACTAGACTACAAGGCATTGAAAAGATAATCCCGCCTCTCCAATATACCCGCCTCTCCAATATACCCGCCTCTCAAATAATCCCGCCTTTTTTTGTTAGGTTGAAACGCTAATCAAATTTCTCAAGTTTATCCGAGAGTCACTTCAAACAGACTTTAAAGATTTTAAGGTTCCAGGAAATTTTATGACCTTAAATTTGAGGGCCTTATATGCGAAGCAGCACTTTTGCAGACGACCTTTTTCGATTACTTGAAACTTTACGACAAAATGCCTGTAAAATGGGTTGTTTTCTCTTTCACTCCCAGTTCAGTTCGAAATGTAATATTGTCAATGGATAAGAAATTGTCTACCAAAAGTTAAAAAAGTGCGACTTTTGAAAGGAAAGTTGTAGGAAAACTGCATTTAGCTATTTACCAACAAGTTCTTACCGTATTTTTACTCTAATTTTCCGTCGGCGGGATTT